TGATGCAAAAAAGTTGTTGAGTACCTCAGCCTTCTCTTTGTCTGTTGTGACCAATTTGCCAGTCATGTTCATCAGTGGGGGTACGCACTTTCTTTGACCTTCCTTTTCTGGCTGAGACACCTATAGGAGCCCTTATTATTCTTCGCATCCCATGTCACATTCAGCTCCAGCCGTGCCTCGGCCTTCCTGACCCCATTCCTACACAGCCAGGCAGCATCCCTATACTCTTCCCCTGATACCTGTCCCTGCTTCCACTGCCTGTGCATTTCCTTCTTTTAAACACACTGAACTCACCTGTCTGTCCTCACCTTCACTTCCAGCCATCGATCTTACCTATGTGCTCACCCCCTGCCCCATCAACCCTACTCTGAATAATTCATCAGCCTTCCACCAAGCGTAACACCATTCAGCATTTCCGCATCTGCACACCTGGTCATTGTTCAGGAATGACGTGCCCTCTGTAATTCAGAAAAACCCTCTCCCTCCTCCCCAAGAGGGATTACACCTACTGTAATAAATGCAAAGGCACATCATCTAACAGAGGAGAGTGTGGGTTTTTCTTTTCCTGTTGGCATTTTTCAATTCAGAACTACACAACTGCTAACCTACATTTCCCATGTGAGTTTAACTTCACAGCTTTTCTTTTTCATTACTTTTTCCACACTTACTGCAGTTATCTCAAAACCAGCCTACGGAGTTTAATAGCACCTAGTATTTTTACAACTAGCTGTTTGGGGACTTCTGAGCATTGCTACAACACAACTATACAACACCAAAGGTGCCACATGCCACATCACCAGGGACATTTTTTGGACTAAGAGAGGTCAGAATACCTAGCAAGGGCACTATTCCTTTGTAAATGATATAAAATTGCATTGTAAGCTAAATGCTTTACAAGGCAAATATAAATCTCACCATCATTCACGTTTTCAAAAAAAATCACCCTATATTACCCAGATCATCAGGATGAGTTGGGCAACCCACCAATACTTATTCAGCTGTCCCATAAGAGAGCCTAAGAGAAGTGACAAAATGACAGTTTGGGGGCAACCTGGGCCTCATGCACCACTGGTAAACTGTGATTTCACTTCAGGTGGGCCTGGACTCCAGGTTATGTTCAAAGGGCACCCTCAAAACTTGTTAAGCTCTTAACCACTAGGAAAGAAGAAATTCATTCAACAGGGAACAATATTTTCCTTCTAAAAGTATTCATAAAAATATTTACTTTCAGGGTCTTTTCCCCGCTTACAATATTCAGGTAATATTTTAGCAGGACAGTCCTGGCTCTCACCTACAAGTGAATTAGGGCTTTATTGCTCCCATAAACTGATTTCAAACCACATCGGGTTGCCCCAAGAGTCCCTTCCCAGAGGATATAGTATCAGAACTAGTTCCAGAGACTTGAACTGCTTTCTCTATGGGGAGAAAAATAATATTTCTGTAATAGACTGACCTTTCTTCAGGTATGTCGATATCTGAAGGATGTCAGTTCACTGTGAGAATATGGGAGTTGGCGTGGCTCCAAAGGCTCCATGTATTTTCAAAGGGACTTTGCCTGTAATTTTAACCCATTAAAACAAAAGTGCATGGCTGGAAAAGGGCAGTTTGTATTTAAAAGTCTCACTGTGATTCAAACACAGCTAAATTACTTGTACGGTGATTTGATGGCATCACTTCACAAAGACAAAAGATAACAGGTTTTACTTCTACGAGCAGCCTGCATTCTCGCATGTCACATGAAAGAGAACAATGGAAACGTGGCTGAATGTGAGAAAGCACCAAACTGCAATGGTTTTTTGGGTGGGGGTGGACAGAAACACACATACTACAAAAATCCAATAATTCTCCACCCAAGCATTGCTATTGAATGACCTCACTGGTTTCCTACATATACTCCAGCAGCCTTCCTGCCATCACTCTGTTGAGCCAAGCAATGATGTCAACAGTCCACCTGTGAGAGTGATGTAGCCCTTTGGGTCATGGTCACAGAGAACTTGGATAAAAGCTGTGCCAGTGTTAATTAAATGCACCTCTTGTTTCACTGCTGATTTCCTCCGATAAGGCTCAGCTCATTTTTCCTGGAAAGACTTCCATGCTGTAAGGGAACCAGAGCCAACCATAACACAACACAAATATTGCTTAGAGAGTATGAAGACAACAGGTTAAATATTTAGGTTTTAAAAAAATAATGACTGCCTATCAATGCTGGGGTAAATACAAATTCCATTAATTTACATGTGCTAATGACAATGTTAAACTACAAATGCTAGTTACTGCAGATAGTTTATTATCTTTCAGCAGTACGTACCTCTTTCATTTGTAATGCTCCTCCCGATTAAATCGGAGCGGAATTCTAACAACCTGCTTTACCACCGGTAAGTTCTGCCAGGTTAGAGTGAGAGGAGCTCGTCTAGTAAAAATATGCTTGAGAATGGAGTTTGACATTTAATTAGCATCAGAATTATCACTACCACTTTAACAAACGTGTTGTCCAATAGCATTTATTCTGCCATCAGAAAGGTCTTAGCTGTACGAAGGCTCTAAGCAGGTTAGCTAGTAAGGATCTTCTTCCATTAAAACAATTAGCCACCAAGGAATGAAAGGAAAAAATACATACTGCCCCTTCTTTTTTTTTTTTCCCCTATATAAAGAAATCTAATCCACTGTCATGACTGGATGCTTTCACCATATGCTGTCACTAGGATCTCTGTAATCCCTCTGTGCATAGCATCTGACTTACAGCCACTTTAAGCCTTCAGGACATGCCCTTTTATACTTGCTTTGTTCTTGTAGACATTTTCGGATAGCTTTATTAGTAATAGAACTGTCAAAGGAAGACTCTCAGTTTTGGAACCTGACATCAAAAATATTCCCTCTTGCACAACTGAAAAAGTACCACTAGCCCTAAGACTTCACTGCTGACAGCAACGCGCACAAAAAATCTGAAGGTGGCAAAACAGAAAAATGATCTCAAAAGCAGAGTACAACTCTACTATGGGAGTTTGGTTCCCAGTGATCACAACTTTCAATTCTGAAAGGCAGCAAGTTAGACCTCTTGCCATAAATTTAATTCTAGAGAAAGAATTGTCTGGCAAGGATGTCAGGAATACATTCATACTAATTCATTCATTCATTTTGATTTGTAGCAATTGTGATAGTTCCAAGGAGTGTCCTGTCCCACATTCCTGAGCATTAGCAATATTTTCCAACCAACCAACGATCGATATCTGTCTATTTAGACTTTTAGCTCTTGGAGATCTTATGTTTATACAGTACCTTGCCCTACAAAGTCTCTTGGCATACATAATATTAAGAGTATACTGCCTATCCAGTTCCTGATAACGGAAAAGTTCCATGGCTATACTACCTCTGACCAAAGTCATGGTAACTAACTTGGACGTATGTTTTTCCAATCTCCCCCAGTAAGAAGTTCCCACATATAAAATGTCCTTCATAAGAACTATATTTTTTGGTTCTAGGCAGAAACCACAAATGAGAGATAATCCTTGAACTTGTTTGGTCTATACTGGTCCTACAGACAGTTCCTCTAGATTTATGAGGCTGAACTGCAGCTAGTTTATGCTGAAGCATGCACAATGTGACTCATTCAGAAAGCTCAACCCAAGAACACTTCACTCTGACATCCTACAGAATAGCTCCCTCATGGATTTGGAGTAGTTGTTGCCCATTCTTCTCATTCACTCCTTCTCACAACTTCATGACACATAACTTCCAGTGCAAACTTGAATCCAGGCCATGAAGGAGATACTAGAACTTCTGACAAATTTTATTCTGTCACCAGTAATTGGAATTTGGTCTTGCACAATTTAAATACACAGCTGTGCTCCACTTCTGGTGGATGTGCATAACATGGCCATGCAGAAGGAAAGCATATCCCCAGTCCAGTGAGTTAAAATGACACAGTTTCCTGAACTCCAGGAACTCTCTCGGTCAGAAAGTGCTTCCTTCCTTGTTTCAAACACTTGATTGTTTTAGCGGGAATTCAAAACAATAGATTAGAAACTTTCAACCTTTCCTAAGTGTTCTGCTACACAAGGAAATCAGGCCGTGCTCTGGGAAGATGAGATAACATTGGGAGAGTACTCTTTCCGGAAATGCAATGGCTTTTGCATCCCTTCGCTAGCACCATCCCATGAATCAACTACGCATAAGTAATAATTCATGCTATGAGATGTCAGATGCAGTTCAACTACTGTTTCGAATAAGATGTGCATGGTTGGCAAGAGGCATGAGCTAACTAGCTTCTCAGCTACTTTGATAAGGCATGTCAGGGAAGAAAATATCAGGAGCTTCCAAATTCAAGTCTGTACTTTAAGGACAAGTAGAAAGAAAGGAATGCAATTGCCTCTTTTTAGCACCTCATTGTTTAAATCTCTAAAACAGGGCAAAGAACGTGCTACTACTTCTGCAGTTAGAAATCTATCCCTTCCCACCATAACTTAGTTTTACAGAACCAGCAGAGACGTTCACAAGGACTGGGAATACGCCAGGCTCATCAGCTGAAAAGCAATCATTTAATCATATACTTTTTTCTAACACAATTCCTTTCATCTAAATACATTACAGAATGCTTTGTAATGATGGATGAAAGATTTAACATTTAGAATATAATCATGTAACTACAGTTATTTGCAAGCTGCAATTTGAATAAGAAAAGGCAACGGACATGTAAATTCATTTTTCTGCAGCATTACAGTGCATAAGGATCCTAGATTAACTGAAAAACATCAGAAATCGAACCAACGGCAAGAGTTGTTCTCTCAGACCTTGTAGTCAAAGCTCTTACACGATATTACATTTTCCTAATTCTCTTTTCCTATCAACTTAGAGCTCCAAAAAGTTTGTGGATAAAATTATCATAAAAACCCAAGAACTCACCTGGTTCTACACATTGTTTTTAGAGGCAAATAGGAAATGTACTTCCCTGTCAAGCTGGGTCAGAGGAAAGGGAGTGATCGAGTTGAATGGTCTGCACTCACCGTTCCTACCAAAGGGTAGATGAATCCAGCTCCAATACTGGCTCGCACATCACTAATCGGCAAAATGAAACCAGTGGGAACGCCTTTCCTCTCAGGTTGGTGTGAGAGGGATAGGTGAGTTTTTGCCATACAAATTGGAAGATTTCCAAATCCCTAACAGAAAAGGGAAAGAAAATAAAAGAAAATTTAAGATTACAGTAAAGACAGAATATGTTTTCACGTTGTTATCAGTATCCTCTAGAAACTCTACAATCCATCTAGCAATAGTTAACCTCAGTTTCTTAGCAGCTAATATATCAGAAAATATCAGAGCACTGCATTTCACATGCTACTCTCTCTCAGCTCAGGCCTCTACCTCCAGAGACTTGGTTGTAGCGATATCGAGCTCCTGGAGTGGGTTTTCTAGAGTTAGGTGCAAAAGCTGTCTGTAAACGGCCTGAGTGTGCCATTTTCAGAAAGGGCACACAATGGGCACCTCACTGATGAAGAAACCTACACCAACTCAATAAAACTCCAGCACAGCACTTCCCTCCGGGCTCTAACGACCTAGTTAGATACCTACTTGAGACCAGGATTAATGGTCCAAAACTCTCTAGGGGTACTAATGTCTTCTCGAGGGTAAACACAAATGGCTCATGATGCTTTGCTTTGTTTTTAAACAAGACAAAAACTGGGAGGTGATGCCACCCACTTCACTAATGACAGTGCAGTAGTTACTCAAAAAGGGGGAGAAAATCAGGGAAAGGCCCTCAGCAGCTCCCCACCACCATTTGTCTCCTACATTATCGATTAACCTTGAGTCAGGCACCTTCCATTCTTCTGTTCAAGTCCTTGACAAACAGGGATGCATTTCACAAGGCCAGGAGGAGAGGCGGCAGCGCAAGGAATTGCCTCTGTGCCCCAGCACTGACAACAATCCTTTAATGACATCGAGAAAATATTTCCCAATGCTACTAACGTTTAGACTAAAAAATGGATTAGAGAGTCACAGCAGGAAAAGATAAAGACATGGACTAATTTGCTTCAAGTACACTAAGCAAGCTTCTTTTCCATCTAGAAAATCAAACTAATTCTGAGGAGATTTGCATTATAGAGAAGACGGCTATATTTCTGCCTGTCTGACCAGGCTGCTGAAGTATACTCAGGAATTCTTCCATGACACATTGTCCATAGTTTCTATTTTCTGACAGAAAGGCTCCAGCCATCTTTGTGCGCAGAAGCCGTTCCATTACAGAAAATACATTCACTTCTCCACATGGTTTCAAAACCGTTTTCAAACTGTAACAAAGCCCACTCCCACATGTTTTAGGAACCGTGATCTATTTCACCTTCTAACATTTATAACCCCTTGAAAATAATATGAACAGAAGGAAAACAAATGATTTTACAAGTACTGGGAGCTTTGCTATTAACACGCACAGCTGTACACAGGTCACTTTGTGTTTGTAAACTCATTTTTTGCAGGTACAAAGGAACATTCATATGCAAAAACCGGGCACGTTCACTAGCTGCTACTTTTGCAGATGTGCCGTTGTCACATTTAAGGCAGTAACCCCAAATTACCACTCTGCATAGAAAGCACAGTTTCATCAACAATCTCTGATTGATTCCAAACATCATACATATCTTACCGGAGATAGCTTTCAAGGTTAAATCCATTCTGTTCTATCTAATCTAATCTAAACCAATCCATACTGACCTCCACAGTTCAGCACCATGGGTAAGCTCATGCCTTTTAGCAAAGCTTGACTAAACACTCCAATCTGAGAACCTTTTACACCCTGAGGTTTCCTAAGACTCATCCAGCAGGTACCTGACTGCACAATTCACCGGTGTTCTTACCTGCCGGGTGTAACGCTCAACTTGGGACTGCGCAGCGGGAGACAACTCTATGTCCTCGGCTCCATACACCTTCTGAGCAATGATCCTTATTTTTTCGACAATAGGAAGCTGCAGAAACAAGGAAACAGCACAAGGATGAACATTAGCCAAGAGAAACTAGGATCTTGTTTGCTGAGTGAGAAATCTGAATCTCTCATTTAGATTCATCCTTGTTAAACAGGGTTGCTAAAGCAAGAAACCAAGTAAAGGGCACTGGTGATGGATATGATATTCAGCTACAGGTACATGAATTACAACGATCATTTCACCTACTCCATCATTTAGGAGCTGTACAATTTGTGCATTACAAAGCTGACAACATGAGCTTACCCTCTTGTCTAAAGCAGGAGAAGAAAATTACTGCCATGCAGTTTTAAGAGCCAAGAGCTAACACACACTGCAGACACAAGGAAGCAAGCTCCGCTGGGTCAACAGGGATCACTAGACAAATGCATTTCATTTTACAATAAAGATACCCCATACAATGAGCAGACAAGGCAAGGTAGCAGGCAGCCAGGGAAGGTTCCTCGGAGAAACAAGAAATTGTAGCAGAAAATTCCTGACTCATCACTGCTCCTTTGATTGCCTTTTTTTTTTTTTAAATTCTCACCTCCTATCCTTCCCAACACAGCGTTTTGAATTGTAGCATTGATATTGTAAAGCACTTTGGACACTTAAAAAAAACAAAAAAGAATATGAAAGCATTCTAGGATACACTTTGAAATGACAAGTCACTAAGTTCAACCCCGGCCTTCATGAATATCCACATCATGTTATTCAGCTCAAACTGAACATGCATTCTGCCACGACGGTTTCTACTTCAAGGCAGGTGCTGACTCTCACATCCAGGCTGTTAGAAATCCTTTCACAGATTTTCAGCAGTTTTTTGTGGTCACATCAGGCATTTACTTTTTGTGCCATCATTTCTGTTTATTTAGAGTAAACAACTTTTTCCTCTTTCTCTCTCCTTTTGTTTTGAATGACCTTGGAGACAGCAATTATGACCCCTATAGCCTATTTTAAATAAGCCAACCTCTTTGACTTCTTTCAATAGGAACAGGACAAGGGAGGAAGGATCACACCTCCGGTTCGGCTATTTCAGTGCTGACCACAGACGGCCACAGATGTGTGTAATATTCCAGGGAACATCCCACCAGGAATTTGTACTCTAGCATATTTAATGATCAACACATGTAGAAGAGGTGTTGAACAAAATCTAGAGAGAGCGCACTTGGGGAAGAAGACTTGGTAATCTCAAGCAATACGAAAAGCACCAGGACACAAAATAGAAAGATTTCATTTTATTCCTACAAAAGCAAGAAATTGGTTTGTGAGTTACAACCTCTATCTGGCGCATTTATAGGAAGTTCCACAGTTAATCACATTTTTGCAATGCCTGTCTAGAAGTAATGGTTTTTCTGCAAAGATACATCCGTTTAAAGGTTTGTGTCAGACTGACCTTTTTTGTATTTATGAATGAATTTTAGAAAAATTAAACTTTAAAGTTGTCTGCCTTTACATTAGTAAAGAACTCCAGTAACAGAGACATCACCAGAAAATAAGCTTGCCAGACTTTCAAGTAGCTTAAATGTAAGCTACTAAGGCTCAAATAAAATCCCTCCCTCAGGTACGAAATTTCACAGTGATGTTTAAAGATGTTCCACAAGACACTTTCTGAACATGCTGACTATATGATTATTGCACCTTAATTGGGTGGAATAACGTCCCGTTCCTGACCAGGCTTTTTAGAGGAACCCAAGCAGTGCAAAAAAAACCTAACGAGGATTGGAAATAACACACTGCAAATATCCTGGAAATAATTCCTGGCAGCATTCCTGAATGGAATACTCAGTGACATGGATAGCTGTCACGAGGTGGAACTTCTTTCGGGTTGATTATTAAGTAAGTTCATACCCACGGCAGTTTTGAACACAGTGGAAGAAAGGCAAAACGTGTCTGTTCCAACAGCGACTTGGTTCCACAGCACCTCTGCTATCTGGACAGTTATGGCGACAATGGTATTTATACAATGTGCAGAACGTCAAAAGCACGAAAGATGTAGAATCAGCAATAAAGGCTGTTCCTCTTCTCATTTCCCTTGTGTGAGGTTGTGAATGTTATACAACTAAGTACATTTAGGCAGAGAACAGGTGACAGATACACAATAGACAGGATGGATTTAGACAAAAACTGACTTTTATAGATATGCAACTACATATTAGTATTGATGCTGAAGGAATTATGGCAGCTTCAGAGAATTAATTCCAAATTCAGTTTTAGCTTCTTGAGAAAATGATGGGACGAAATACTCCATGTAAATTTATCCTGAACATGAGAAGGTGCTACAGGGCCACACGGTATAAATATCTGCTGACAGTTAAGTAGCTTTGATGTTTCTCTCAGAAACAACCAGTCTTCCTCCCAGCCCTGCCAGAGACAATGTGCATTTCTGAAATCCCACACATCCAGAGCTACCAAAGCCATATGCTTCTCCCGAGGCAAGCACAAACACACGTGCTTGTTGAGGCTGCCAAGCACCCACACCGTAAACAGGATTATCTCCTTGGCTAAAGCGTAACAAGTGCTACAGCAAAAGTGCACAAATTGCTTTCACAAAACCAGTATCTGTGTAGCTGTATGTTTCATTACTTGACAGAGAACGATTAAACCAAGAAATCGGCACTGATAAAGAGGAGAGCCTGTCATTCCCAAGACTGAATTGATTATCCAAGATGAAATCACTCCAGTGCTGTCACCCAGCCATATTGCTACTTCCAGACCATCCCCCTTGCAAGACGTGATGTTAGTGCAAATTGATGCTGTTTATTACACAATCTTCTTTCTTCCAATGCTATCAATAGCAAAGTTTTTACCAAAACATAATTTAATAGTGTTTCATTTCTGCTAGCCTTTCCTCGTGTTTCCTTCACTCTTCATCTCTTCCTTCAGCTACAACAGCAGACTGCGGATTATCATTTTTCCATGCGGGGCTTGATGAGGCTGCCCATGGACAGCAGCCCAGCTTCAAGAGACCCTCCCTTCATCCTCCCTTCCTCTGCTCCTCACACTCACCGATGTGTCAGTGCAACTGAGAGGGCAGCACCGCTGTTTGTGCGGCAGCACGTACCAGAGAAAGTGAGCCAGGCTAAAACATAACCCAGGAAAAAAGAAAAAAGCTATTGTAACCCATCAGTTCACACATCCAGTTTACCATAAAGGCAAAGCCAGTATAAAGCAGAGACGGCTTAAATGCTATCTCTACAGAAAAAATTGCTCAAACTGTTCAAATCTGATCACTGAAATGTATCTTCAGAACCAGCGAGCTGGGGCAGAGAACATGCGGCTTGGGCTGGGATTCCTGAAATCGGTCTTGTTGCCAAAAGTCAGTAGTATCACATGAAACAAAACATGCAGATTACCAGGCACCTGGCTTGGGACTGTGCTCAGGATTCCCATCTTTTGCATCCTAATCTGGACACCTGACTTTAAGCTTTTTGGCTACTGGAGAAAGGAGTTCATCTTTCCCCATAGCGAATCCCTGAGACTGTTGGAAACAACCCCTCTTCCTTTCCTCCTTCCTTTCTTCTGCTTTTAAACATTCCCCCCGACTTCCTCACAGAAAGTGAGTCCAACAAAAAATGTCTCTGAAAAGCCAGAGTCAACAGCAGCAAGTCCGTAGTCATACTTGATTCCACTAGGCTGCAGCTCAGGCACCCTACTATGAGGAGCACTGGTGTTATCTAGCTTAAAGTGAATACCTTAGGTGAACGCCCCTCAGCGCAGCACTGTCTGAAAGGATCTCTTCACAGTTATACAACATAAATATTTAAAACTACTTTATTCTCCAAGAAAATGGAAGATTCTGCTGAAAAACATGCGTTTAACCAGAAAATATACAAAAGCACTATTCACTTACACATTTAATGCTTCAAGTTCTTTAAACATTCACTTTAGTCTCACCATCTATTCTTAATTATGAGATCATCAGTTTAATTAAGAGGTCAGAACCTCTTGGTTTATTGTTGCTAAGCTGCTTGTGTTTTAACAGAATTTTTAAAATAGTTTAAAATTCAAGGCAGTGGCACTTTTTTTTTAATTTTAACTTATGCATTCACTGAAAGCAATAATGACGAGTCGCTGGTTGGCTAAGTGAAACAGTATGCAGACATCACTCATTCCCCTTCTCGGGAAGGCTGCCAAAGGAAAACATATGATGGGAGTATGGCTGAAGGTGCTGTGTGGGGTGACAGAGTGCAGCGCTAAAACAATAGCTGACTCTGCACATTCGAACTCCTACTTCTAGCTTTTCCCCCGGATAAAATAAAAACACATTTATTAAAGTATCTGTATATTCTGGTTCCAGAAGATCTGTGGCTGACAAAAGGATTCCCAAGTCTTTAGCACTCCTCTTCCTTTGTTGGCACAGGGCAAGAGTTTGGTTTTTTGATTTGCAGAAACGCATATTCAGTCAAGTTAAACCGTTTGTGAATCAACACCTAAGCCTGTGGCCTGAGAGATTTATTTTCCATTTCCCCAACTTTGAAACCCCAGCTGCGCCTAAGAACACTGCTTCACACGAAGAATAGCAAAATAGTGAAAACAAACATAAAAGTGCAGTGCCATCAAGAGCCTTCATCCACAAAAAAAGAGACGGAGTGGAAGAAAGATAGCTTCCAACCCTACAACACCCAAATCAGTGAGAGAAGTGTCCAGACTCCACTGAAATCTCTTTGATGGGAGTGGGAGGAGAGGCTGGTACAGCCCTGTGGAATTCCTCTTTAATGTGGCTTCACTGCTTGACGGCTTACTAGCAGTAGGGTGGGGGGAAATAGTTTAAAGACTACCATACCCTGGAGGGCAGCATGGTCTGCATTTCAAGATGAGAAATAATCTCCATCACTTATTAGGAAAAGTTTCAGTAAGGAACTTATAAAATTTTATTTACTCCTACTCCTGTAGTGCTTAAGGATCTTCCATTGGGTCCGTACGCAACTGAACTCAATGCTGTATAAAGAACAACACAGAAGTTATCTGCCTCCTAGGCAAAAGAACAGAGGTATGTTGGGCTGATGTGACAGCAGACACACGATGGATGGCTTTCATGGCTTAGCAGCTTCATGGTATTAGTGGAGAAAACAGAAAATACCCCTGACACCCCTCCATTCAATCACACTGGGATTGAAAAGATGACCAGGTTACAAGTGAAGAGAAAGACTCTGCCTTAGGTCATTCCCCTGAAGGTCACTGTCCTCAGGCCCAGGCCCCATGAGCCCTTCTGGACTCTGCCTTCCTCTGCGGGCCACTGCCCTGCTCCCAGTACCTGCACCAAGGAGCCTTCACCACTGACCGGTCTCTTCCCTCCTTCATTACTCACAGCTCATTCTTGTCACCAGAGACTGTTGCCAGCGGATGGAAGAGAAGGTAACACACAGAGAACCGCTGCCGGCAGAGACTTCTCCGTTTTGATGCTGCCCTTAGACCCCTCCAAGTGACCCACTGACTCTGACAGCTGAAGCTAAGACCAGAAGAAAGGAGCCAGGCAGCTGCCCACACCATGCTGCCAGAGCACAAGAGAGGTAGGGGCGGCCAAAACTGTGGGCTCAGATGCTCCAGATTTGCCCAAGTTATTATTATGCTCCCAGCAGGGGAAGGAAAATACCAATGCTGAGGCTGCTAAGTGCTCGAACGCCTCCCTGAGCGGTGCTGCTGCTCAACCCCATTCCCGGCGGATGGCCCCAAGCTGAGAAAGCTCTCCTTTGTTCTGCAGCCTGGCCAGGCAATCCACTGTGCTCAGCCAAAACAGTTGTGCAATCGACTTCCACAGCACAACCTGGAAATATTTTCATTTGTCATGATATTACCTAAAGGCAGAGCACCAGCAAAAATAGGTGTCACCTGACAAACTTGGAAGACTGGAACAAGACCTTCTCCTCCCTCCCTTTTCTGACCTTTACACTCTTTGATTTAGTTTTCCAATGCAGCAGAAATCAGGTGATTTGAGGCTCTTCAATCATACCTGTCAGGTTACCACGCCAGTCTTTTAAGGGGACAATGCTAACTCACTGACTGGCCAGATATGCCGATCCTGCCCCATGCCATACGCCTGTCCTTCTCCTCTCTTCCGTCTCCTGCAGCGTTAGCCCCCTGCACTCCAGCTGCCTTGCAGGAAGGGGCAATGCACCTCTTAAAAACATAACGTCTGCCTTCATTCAGACCTAGGTTTCCTCCACGAGGCTGAGGAGGAGGGCTGCTGCACGTCCAGGGAGAGCTGACCTCAGGAGAAGAGAGGGGACCAGGACAGTGAAAGAAGGCAGGTTACTCAACAGGCATGCATTAGTGGGGAATATAGCTTCCCCCCTCCCGCCAAGGACTGGCACCGAAGAAAGAGAAATTTGGGAATGGGATGCGTATGTTTCCATCCTCTCCTATCCTCCCCCTAGTTATCTAAACTTACTTTTAATGAGTCAGTCAACTTTATTTTGAGTAATAGCTTTCTGCTGCAACTTAAAGACCCATACTTCAAGAAAAGTGAACCCAGAAGGGAAGTCAACAGTGATAAGAGTTGATATTTTGATATTTTCCATATGTAGCAAGAATATATATTAAAAAAACCCCAGAGATGATTTCATAGAGAGTTCAGGAGGCCTTTAAAATAAACCCATCCTCCAAACACTGAAGAGAAATACTCGGCAAGAAACCAATTCAACGGTAAAATAAGAGAGGTTAGTGTGCAGTGGGGGCAAAAATCCATATTAAAACCACACGCTACTATAGTATTTATTACGACTACTGCCAATAATCTTTTAAACTATGTTATAAACTCTGGAGCCTATCATATGAAAACTCACCCTTGCTCCTGACCTCCCGCTCC